GGGGGGGGGGGGGGGGGGGTTAAACAGGTCAGCTACAGCTCTTCCTCACAAACATTCATATACTGTACTGGAAGGTTTAGTATTGACACATTTAACCAGTTTTATTCCTCGTTTTTTAACGATTAAGGGATTAACAGTAACATTCATTAAAGATTTAACATCAATTCACTGTTGCTCGTACAGCGAACGTTGTTCTGCGTCTATTTATCGACCACAACGAGACATTTTCACTCTCGGCTTTCGGGAGAATTCTGATCGCAGATTTGTTCCACGTCTGATTAACCTGCCGTGAATCCAGGATATTTGGTCCATTTCCAGGCGTTTCCTTGAACTAATCTCTAAATGTCTGCAGTCTGTCTATTTTACTGTGTTATATATACGTGTGTGTGTGTGTGTGTATACTATTTTTATCCTTATTTTTGGATGCATAATCTGTAGAAGTCTGTAACTAAACAGTAACTGTGTTGTGATTTAAAACTTATAAATAAAGTTGTGTTGAAAACAATCGACTTGTGGAAGTCAAACTACGAGCAAACGCCGCTTTCATCCTTTTATCCGAAGGCGCTTGGGATGTTGCGTTAATGTCTCGCCTTCATTGTTACTAAGCAACCGTGACGATGGCGCTGTGGTCATTTAAGCCTGCCATGTATCTGCATCTACATCTGAACGGCCTAAAGAATCCATTTACACTTTACTCTCACAATTTCAAAGCAAAACAATTCGCAATCCCGCGTCGTGCTGGAGGGACTGAAGGAGGGACGACAAAAAATGGAGAGCAGGAGGTCGTCGTGATAAAATGTGAACAGCTGGTTGTTCAGTCAGCCGTGTGTGTGTGTATTGGGGTCAGGTCATCATTCAATATAGATGAGCTGAAAACTCCTTTTTCTCTTCCTCCCTTCCCGTCTATCTATATCTTTCCTTCTCTGAACAGAAGAAGAAGAAAAATGCTCCTCCTCATTCTTCTCGTCCACCTATTTCATGTTTTAGATCCTCCTCATCTCCTTCTTCTTGTCCTCCATCTTTCCTCCTGTACTCTTTTCCTTCTTCCTCTCATCTTCCCCTCATTTTCCTCCTCTGCTGCTTTCTCTCCTTTATTTTCTATCTATCCATATTTTTCTCTTCTCTACCTCCTTCACCATATTGTTATCGCCTCATCCTCCTTTCCTGACCCTTTCCTCTTCATACTCGTTTTCCTCCTCTTCCTCCTGCTCTGCAGCTTTAAATCTGTTTATTGCATCGCACTTCCTCGTTACCTTGGCAACGCCCCACGTGTCTGATGTCGATCTTCAGCTGTTTGAGGCAGGACGCCTCCCGGACGTGGCACGGCGTGTCGTAGGTGACGCCGTCGCTGCCACACACTGGGTTGTCGTTGTGGCCGTTACACACGATGTTACACATGCAGCTGTGCACACACACACACACACACACACACACACAAAATCTTATGGTAATTACACTTTTATTTTGAAGGGTATGTGTTTTTCTACTGTGTACATGCATATAGTCATATTATCTGTCAGTTTTATATTGTTGCTTGCCATTGTTACGCAGATGACACTCAGCTCCATGTATCATTTAATTCTGATGACTTTAGTAATCTGGATACTTTACACTGCTGCCAAAGACTGGATGTGACTGAATGTTTTACAGCTAAACACAGATGAAACAGAAACGTTGGGCATTGGACCAGACCAAGTTTCAATGAGCATTAATCCTCACTTCAGGGAATATGATGAAGTTTCTGTGTTTGAAGAAGAAAATACTGCCTGTATTGTTTAAGAATGCTGTAGAGCAAAATTATCCATGATTTTATCTGCTCCCGTCTGGATCACAGTTCCTGCCATCACTCGTCTTCAGCTGGTACAGAATGTGGCAGCCAGGCCGAGCACATTACCCCCATTCTGGCACTTTCACTTTGGCTTCCTGTATGCTTCACAAGTCAATTCAAGATCCTCCCGATCACACTCAAAAGCCCTCCAGGGCACCTTTGAGTATTTCTCAGCACCAAGATCACTCAGATCTGCAGACCAGCTGCTCTTAAATGTCCCACGGTCTCAGCTTTTACTGATTTAGCTCCAACACTGTGGAACTGTCAGGTCGACCTTTAAAAACCCTCCAGTACAGCCGTACAGTTCAGTTCTTACTGGTTTAAATGATCTTAGTCTTGTTTCTAGTTACATTGCTTTAATTGTTGATGAACTGTGTGTGTGTGTGTGTGTGTGTGTACTCACAGCATATCCTCTGAATCTTCGTCACACTCGGCTCCAAACTTGCAGTTTCCACATTTCGAGGCCTTTTTCCCGCGACCAGAGCCTTCATCATCTGCACAGACACACAACATCACTGCAACATGGCCTCCACATTTATTACTCATTTATTCTTATTATTACTATTCTCGTTATTATGCGTAGTCGTAGTGTTTTGTAGTTGTAATATTGCATTAAAAAGCAGCAAACTGAAAGATAAAATGAAGTTGTTTACCTCCATCACCAGATCCTGAACCACCGTCTGACAGAGAGACACAGAGACGTTAGGACAGGAAGTAGTTCTCCATCATCATGAAACCAAAACTACTTTAATTAAACATGATGTGCTCATTATTAATGCTGTTATTAGTGACTCACACACACTCTGGGATTAGTCTGAATATGTCAACAAAAAAACGCTGCAATCAGCATGAATTCATCATGTGGAGGTTCTTTATCGTAAAGTGATACTCCCCAAATCCCTCAACGCGTGTGTGTGTGTGTGTGTGTGTGTTACCGGGGTAACAGGGTCCCTCTGACAGGGGGGTGATGGCTCTCTGTTTCTTGCAGGCGGCTCTCCTCAGGAAGCACTCGTTCTGGTACGTGTCTCCGTTCGACCCGCACACGGGGACGTACTTCTTATGGCACTGAAACACACACAGGACCACAGTAACAACCATTCATTCATTCGGTAAAGTCGGTGACGGTAGATGTGTAAATTAATCAGCGCAGATGTTACGGGTCCCCCCGCTATCCTTCCCGCTTCCACGCCGCTCTGTCTTTCAGAGGCTGTAGCGCACTCTATTGTAAAGCTATGACAGTAGCAGACCTAACGCGTCCACTGGTTCCAACGTGGGAAGGAGGGTAAATTTTGCAGATGGGAAAACTCTCATGGCCATTTTCAAAGGGATCCCTTGACCTCTGACCTCAAGACATGAAAATGGGTCCTATGGGAAGAGACACTTTATGCTAATACAGTGTGTGTGTGTGTGTTCCATAAAACTTGGTCGGACAGCAGGATCGGGTCAACATAGGTGCACTGTTTAACATTACATCATTATTTAAGTATTTGTCTGATATTTTTTAATGTATTTTATTAATACTGTCTATTTCTACATTTTGGTGTTGCAGTTTATTAAAAAAAACATTAATAAAGCAGTTTGTGGTTTACAGTAAACGATTAGTTTATTTTGTTACTTTTAATTGGCTAGATGACATTCGGGTATCCCACTTAGTACGTCGTATCACTGTGAATATTAAGGTGTTAATCAACCCCAGGCTGCTCTTGTATGCTGAATTTGCTACCATTTCAGATTAAAATCCATAGATGGGTAAAAATGCGGGCTGCTCTCTGGAGGTTTATGTAGTTGATTCTCTGTGGCGGCCAGTAGGGGGTTGCTGACTTTGCTAGAATATTAATTAAAAGATTTTTTCTGTAAATTTGCAAATTCTGGTGGTGTGCTTCCATTGGCATTAATGCACTGAGGAGTTGAAAGATAACTAGCAACAAAAAGTTTCTCACATTTAGTTTGACAAGTGTATTGCGTAGATGACAGAGTAGAATAAGGGAGAATTACGTTTATAGTAGGGTGTGTGAAAGGATCAATAATCATTTATTATTGGCGTAATAGAGGCCCAAAAGATATATCGATTGTTTTGTTTATTTATTTGTCTTTTTGTCTTTTTTTTCCTTATTTTGTTTTGTTTGTCTTGTGTTGGAAATTTGTTTGTTTAAGAAATTATTGTGAATTTTCAAGAATGATCGGAAAGAAAGTAAAATTTACCTACTTAAAGCAGTGGAAACTGATTTAATGATGGTTATGGGAACATCTTATACCGTTGTGCATTTGTACAAATGTTCTTAAGATTAGTATGATCTCTAACGGCCGCCTCAGTTCTCCATTATGTGCCATCAGATATCTTCTATTTTGAGGAGAAACATTGGAGGAGGATTTAGTTGTCAGATATTGGAATAGTAACATCCATAGGTGTGTTTTCACTCGGTGTTTAATCAGCAGAATATAAGAATCGTTGTTTGTTACCTGGAGAATGAGGAGCGTTTTATCGGTACAGGAGGGAGCGGGTCTCGTATATAGGGCCGTTTGTGTTTTTTGTGCTTTCTACAGCCACCGTAGTTTCTCTTTAGGCTTGAGGGGAGTTTGCGATGTGTAGACTGACTGCTCCTCTAAAGTCTCCATGCCACCCTCTGCAAAAAGAAACTGGACAATCTAGGGAGCAGCTTTTACAGTGATATTAGGTCAACACTGAGGAATGATACAGGAGAGCAGGCAGGGGGGGCTCCAGGTTCATATCCATACTCTCTCTCTCTCTCTCTCTCTCTCTCTGTGGGAGTGGTCCTGCTGCAGGTCACGTTGTCAGAGCTTTGTGTTGATGTGATTCAGTGGGAGAAAGAACAGGAGTGACAAAAAAAAAAAAAAGAAGAAAGAAGAACGTTCCGGGTCGCGACCGACCTGACCGCAGGTCCATCGTCCTCCCCGGCGCACACGTCGCTTCATCTTCGGCCTGGATGCTGCTGGAAGCGCTTCGGACCTTCCACCTGGGATCTTTTTCTCCGCGGACGGTCGCGGTGCTCGCCGCCCGGTTTGAGTGGAGGCAGCGGGGGCTGGGGGGATGGAGGCTCAGTTCCGGGCTGTGAGCAGACTGGTTTGAGGGGGTTGGTTGGAGGTGTTGGGGGGTCGGGCGTGTGAAGCCCGGGCCCTGCTTTGCTTTGTTATCCTGGGCTTCATTTAGCAGCACTCCCGGCTTTCTTCGGCCGTGTTTTCCAGCTGTTTTGCGTCCGTTCGCGCACGGGAGCGTCCCCCGGAGGACTGGGTGGACAGAGGCAGGGACACATTGGACAAACAGTTTGGATTTAATCTCTCTGTATTCTTTCTCTTTCTGGCGGGGCTGTTGGTGTGAGGACTGAGGACGAATCCAGAAAAACGGATTCAGTTAATTCTCTCCCTTTCTGGTTTCTATCCTCGTCTCACTCGTCTGGTTTCTCTCTGTAGCAGCTCTGTCTATCCCTACACACCTTTCTACACCTCCATCTTCGTATATAGGAGAAATATCTTCTCTTCACCTCCCTACCCCTCCTTCTTCACATCCATTTATCTCCATCCATCCTTTATCTCTCCCCACTGTCTGTCTGTCCTCCGATCTGTCGCCCTCCACCCTCCATCATGGGCTCCAGTGTGCCGGTTCTTCCTGGTCTGCTGCCTGCTGGGCTGCTGGTTCTCCCCGCCGTCCGGAGCTCGTTCCCGCCGCAGCGGGAGGCGGCAGCAGCGGGACTGCGGCCCGGGAAGGCCGCCGCACTT